GTTATCCTGCCCCTCAAAAAGCCTTGAGTTCTAGCATTGACTTGGCCTCCTTGTGGATGAAAGTCCTTTCAGGCATCTGTTTCCAGAAGAGGGAGGTTTGGTCCATACTGACGGTTTACTCCTGCGAGTAGTTTTCCTCCACAATCAGCTAATCGGGAGTTTCAAAAATTCTTCAGCTGCCTTCCTATCAGCACTTACAGACTCACCACTCACTTGCACATTCCGTAATGAATAATGACTCTTGAATTATTTAAACCACCGGGAGCTAGTAGTAAATTCAGCACTGTAGTTGGGTCCAGCCTTTTTTTTTTTTTTTTTTTCCTTCAACATTGCAAACAAACCTTTGCTTTGGCTGTGATCATCACTGGAGGTATTTCCATATCTAATACAGGCCCTCCTCAAATTTTTGTTAGTTTCATAGCCTTCAATGAAGCAGATCCTTCAACAGCGTTGCTCACATTTCTTACCAATTGTCTTAACCTCTAAGCCCAAAGGCATGTACACTCACCTCCCACAATACTCTCCACAAAATAGTTCAAGTGGTTCTTTTTTCTTGATGATGCATGGACGAACCTGGAGACCATTGTGCTAAGTGAAATAAGCCCGTCAGAGATAGACAAAGACCATACATGGAATCTAATGAACAATATGAACTAACAAGCAAAATAGAGACAGACTCACAGATTGAGAACTGTTGGTGGGAGAGGAGCAGCATTGGGCAGCTGGGTAGGGGGAGGAGGAATTAAGCAAAAAAGAGAAAAAAACTCATGGACATGGACAAAAGTGTAGTGATTGCCATGGTAAGGAGGTGGAGAAGCTGAAAGTAGGGGATAAAAGGCAATGAAGACTTGACTTGGGGTGATGTACAGAAGATGTGTCGTGAAATTGTGCACCCCAAACCTGTATAATTTTGTTACCCAGTGTCACCCCCAATAAATTTTTTTTTAAAAGGAAAAATATCTAAGATACGGAAAAACAATTACCATATAAACAAACAAAAAATACCAAATGTCCCATGGTATCCCTCTTCTTCAAACACCCCAGAATTTTCCTATTGCTCCTTGAGATCCTATATGACCTGCCTACCCCCTCTCTCATTATCCAGCTTTTTCTCATATTTTGTTTCAACTTGGCTTAGTCACATTGCATTTCTAATTCTTCTTCTTCTTCTTCTTCTTCTTCTTCTTCTTCTTCTTCTTCTTCTTCTTCTTCAATATATTTTATTGATTTTTAACAGAGAGGAAGAGAGAGAGATAGAGAGCCAGAAACGTCAATGACAGAGAAACATCGACCAGCTGCCTCCTGCACACCCCCCACCAGGATGTGCCCGCAACCAAGGTACATGCCCTTGACCAGAATCGAACCTGGGACCTTTCAGTCTGCAGACCGACGCTCTACCGCTGAGCCAAACCGGCTTTGGCACATTGCATTTCTTCTATTCCCCACATTCAGCATGTTCTCTCTGCCTCGGTGCCTTTGCATGTGCTATTCATTTTGCTGAGAAAATGTCCTTACCATTTTGATCTCCCGTCAATCATCACTTTCTCAAGGTTGCTCTCTTAGAGAATAATGTGCCTCTGCTTTGTTGTCTTAACCATAGTACAAATGCATATGAATTTGACTGACATCAACTTCCTCATTATATTGTAAGTTTCCAAGGGGCAGAAACCAACTGCTCACTATTATTTCCCTAGTACCTGTCTAAGGGATTTGATAAATTAATGAATTTTGTAGGATCACTCCCAATTTTAATTTGAACCTGTGCACAGGACTTTCAATGACAACATAATCCCCTTGTTACTGATCTCACTAAATTCAGGTGAACTTTTCCCATGGATCCAGAGGACAGAGGAAAGAATTGAGTTCAAAGGCAGATCTTCCCAGATGAGTAGTCCTGTCTGAGCAGCCGTGCTCATTCCGTTATTTAGCCAATTGTGCTACACTATGTCTTAAATTTTCTCTTTGCATGGTTGACATCCATCAGAGACGAACTCTTACCGTAGCTCCTCACTCTAAATTACTACAGGACCACTCCTATCCAATGCAGGATGTTGGTTTTGTTCTTACTCTTTCAACTTTCCAGACAGCTTACCTGTGGTCACAGCTAAGATTTAAAGGAATTATATAATACATTAGTAGTCAGTTCAGAGTACTTTGTAAGAGCCATTTTTTTTCTTTTTTATGTAGTTCATTTTTCTCTTCCCATAACCCTCGGGGCTTTCTTGGTTTCTTCCCTACTTTCACACTTTTTATGTTGTTTATTGCTTGCTGCACTCAAAAAGTACAACCAGGCCTCATTAGGAAGATATGATGGGACCGACCTGGGACAATGTGTTCCAGTCTAGTTTGCTACACTTCAAGGACTCACAAAGCCCGAAGAGCCTCAGTGATGGAGGCATAAAATGATCAAGGAGATGAGGGACAGAGGGTTATTTAAGGACAAATCATGAAGATTAGAACTATTCAGTTTGCAAAGATAAAAATTAACACAAGACATGGCTAATATTAAGAAAGATAGGGATAGAACAAATCACCTTACTCCCTACACTATATTATGTTAAAACCCCCTTGATTAGAAAGAATATAGGAAGAGGTAAGGACTGGCTACATTATCCAATACATAGTGAACTAAAAAATACTTGTTACCTCAAAGGGTGTTGACTATTCACTACAAATATTGATAGAGTAAACAAAGATTTTAAAAATTCCATATATAGCATGATAGAAGACTCATAATAATATAATAATAATAATAATAATGTCTAAATATTAATAGGTCAAACCAATGTATAGATAAATTAATGTATTGTGTCACAATAGATTCACAATATATTATGTAACAGGGACTAAACTATAAATAAGCTAAACAGAATTTAGAGTAAATTAAATTTATGTATGACAACAGATGGATATTGTGGCATTAAAAGAAGTTTAGAACAGGAGCCAACAAAATGTAACCCATTGGCCAAATTCGGCCTATTGACTATATTTGATTTTAAAATTTTGGAACATAGCCATACTCAAATACATTTATGCATTGGCTATCTTTGTGTGACATGGCAGAGTTGAGTAATTGTGAAAAAGGCTGTATTTCTTGAAAATTCTAAAATATTTACTATTTTGTGCTTTAGAGAAAAAGTTTGCTGTCTGTGACATAGTTGGAACATGCATGTATTTATTCATATTTGAGGTCCACATGAAGTATGATGAGATAAGTTCTCCTAAACAACAACTCTGGGAAGGTGTAGAATTTTGTCAAGGGCAGCAATTTCTGATAATCATATGAATAACCTGGTAAACACATATTTACTAGTCATCTGATTCCCACATCTTTTGAGGTTTGGTAATCAAGTTAAGGATGCTGCCTGAATACTAGGAAAATGGTGACAAAAAACACCATCTTTATATTATTCACTTGTTTTTGGTGCTTTTCAATTCTGACTTTATTTAGCTGTTTCGGATGTGTTCAATTTTGGCTCCTCATTGACAAAGAAGCATGGAATTGTTGGGAGATAAAATTCAGAAGCATGAAGAGATGTCCTAACATTAGGTGGAACTAAGATAAGGGCTTCTAGTTTCTAAATAACAATACTGCACTTTCCTGTACACCAACTATAATATATTAGCAGTGTTTACCCACAAAGAAACCAAATTCATTGTCTTCAGTGGTAGTGACTTATTTTTTCCCAGTGAAGTTCCTGATATGAAATCAATTTATATACATGTGTTATAACATGACATTGATAATCACAACTCTTACACTATCTAATTAACTATATATAAGAGAATAACCTAGGGAGACTGTTCCATTATTTGGGCTTTTTCTTTCTACTTTGCATAATGAAACGCATATTCTGAACAAATTTTCACTCAGGGACAAATGCCTGAATCTCTTTTTTGATAATTGTCTCAATATACAGACCATGGTTAAACGTGGAGTTCGTACTTTAGTCTCATTCATATTTTACAAATTGATCTCAATTAGAAGGCAGGGAGTGCTATTTTAGGGTTGCGCTATTAAGACCATCTCTTTCTTACCTTTAAAAACAGTAATTTCCCCGAAAGAATTTAAAATTTTTGTGGAAAGTGGATGGGGAAAACCAGAGTTAGTAATCAATATATCTAAATATTGGAATATCATAACTAAACTCTTCCAGCATAGGACTTTGACTCAGCACCAAGCCTTAGGAGATTCATTAAAATGTGTTTCACTTTCAATTGTCATCAGCAATAACCAGTGCCATTCATTCTTTCACTCCTATTGAAAGTTTGACATTTGCTGGGCAAATTCACCCATAAAAAGAAATTTTTCACAGCATCCATCTCCATGTACAAAAGAAAGATTCCCAGAGAAGCTTAATGCTTTGCCACTGAATAGTAGCCGCTGGAATAATCCCAGCTATCTGCCACATTGTACAACAAACATGTCCTAACTGAAGTTCATTGTCTGCTTCCAAATGAGTATCCTTGGAAAAGTCCCAACCAATGGCCACTTTGTAAAGTAGGTCTCCATAAAATACCACTGTGGGGAGAAGTTGTTTTGTGTTTGAACATGTATTTGCCAAGCTCTTACATAATCAGTCTCCTGATAACTTTGGTGAGAATCCATAACTATCTATTGCTTATATTCCACTTGAAGAGTACCCTAAGCCACATGTGATTTCTATTTTAAAAGAAATCCACAGCCTTTTAACTTAGTACTACATTTGACCATGCCTGAGATTTCAAAGTGTTCCCCAAACACTATTGATTCTCACCATGACAACACAACACAAGATATTTGGAGCCCGTGTTACTGTTGTTCTTACAATTTTAGTTGCTTGTAGATTTTCGCTATTGGATTCTTACTACACATTTTTTTCACAAACAAAAAATTTCTCTTTAAACCATCAGTCACAATTATGTTTATGGAATTAGAAACAAATGGAAAGAACAAAATTGAAATCTTGTGAATCATAACAAGCATCCAAGCCTGACAGTTCCTTCTGGTGTAATCACCAGAGCCAGTGGCACAACCGCCCAAGTTGAGGCCCCTTCTGTGTAGTCAAAGAAAGGCAGGCATTTTGCCTCTGTAACTGTTTGGCCTTGGAGTTGGGTTAGCATCACAAAATTCATATCACTCCGTCTCTCACAAGTGGAAACAAGTGTAGAGTGCACCTGGGAAGGCACATGAAAATTTCTTTGATTATTGTCAGCTGAGTCCAATGGCGTTGGTAGAGCCATTCCTGGAAACATACCATGCCAGAGGCAGATATGTTGTCAAGCTGACCCTTAGCTTAGGTGCCAGGGACTGAGTTTCATTATCTAAGTTCAGCCAGGTACAAGGAATGGCCACAATGATCTGGGCACAGCCAGGAGTGACGATTACAAAGAAGCTACAAGAATGAAGAATTGCAGCTTGATCTTTAACCATGATTTCACATAATTTCCTTTGTCTTAAACTCTAGTAAAACTTCCTAGAATCATACTGTATAAAATAAATGTGCTGCACTGGCTCTGGGTCACTGTCTCTCCATCAGAGGGCCAGCTGTCCCATCTGGTCCCAGCTGTCCCTACTGTCTCTGTGTCTGTTTCTTTCATTTTCTCAATTCTCTGTCGCCCCTACTCAGGATTCATGGTAAAGAGAGAAATACCTATAAACAAGCATGCTTTGTTAGGTTGGTTTTCAATCCTCAGTTGCCGGGGGCCCAGTTCCTGCAGAGCCCATGCCCTGGCCATGCAGGCCTCTCAACCTGAGGCCAGGCTGGCAGGCTCCCTGGTACTGGTGGAAGCAGTACTCTCACCAGCTATGGGAGCTGTGCAGCACATTTCCAGCCTTTCCCATTGAGCTTGCCAATGGTGCTGATATATTTTGGAGCTTCTTCCATTTGCTTTGGCTTTACTACAGGAAGAACGGGTGTTTCTGCCCTCTCCTCATTTCTCAGAATTGCACACTGCCCAACCAGCTCTCATTTGCCTGCTGGCATCAAATGTAGGGCAAATGGAGAAGGTCTATTGGGCTAATCTACTGGTTTCATCTCTCTTGAGGAGGTTTCCTGAATATTTCCCAGATTTGGGTTCCAAAGGCTCATAACATAGCTCCCCAGTTAAGTATTTGGCAAGATCAATGACCTTCAAAATCCTCCACTTGTGGCTGGATGTACAAAGCACCAAATCAACAATTCATCATTCCAGTCCAGAGTCTTTCCTCCATATATATATATTTTTAAATATATTTTATTGATTTTGTACAGAAAGGAAGGGAGAGAGATAGAGAGTTAGAAACATCGATGAGAGAGTCATTGATCAGCTGCCTCTTGCACACCCCCTACTGGGGATATGCCCGTAACCAAGGTACATGCCCTTGACCGGAATCGAACCCGGGACCTTTCAGTCCCCAAGCCGACGCTCTATCCATTGAGCCAAACCGGTCTAGGCTTTCCTCCATATTTGACACACTGCTCAAGCCATCCAAAAGCATGAGGAGCAAGCAAGCCCACTGTGAGGGCCCCCTATGGCTGAGGTGCTTCTCATCCATTACCTTACTCCAGCCTCACAACAGCTCTGAGCGTTGGCTTATCATTTCTGTTTTTACAAAGGAGATTGAGACTCAAGAGAAGTTTCACAAAATGTGCAGCAGCACAGCCTTGATGCACAAATGGCAAGAAGAAGGGATAGGCTGCTTTTGTAGTCAGAGAAGCTGAAGTCTATGATAAGGGCTGCCAACCAAGTGTGCCATGTTGGTCTGCTGGTGAAGTGGGGAAAGGAAGGGAAGTGGTTAAACTGAGCAGCTCACATGAGGCGTTTTAGGGTCTTACAAGCTCATTTATTCCTGCCAAGCTCAGACCCACCATTTGCTCCATTCCCTTGGAATGTTGCCTTGGTGACGGTACATTTATAGGTCTCCCCACTAAGACATGCATTATTTGATGAAGGTGATACCAGTACCTCCCATGAGTTGAATTGAGTGCCTCCTCGGTGCCAAGTATTTTACATACCTTATCTCATTCTCTCAGCAGCCCTGGAATGTATGTTCTAATGTCCTCTGTATGCAGCTGAGATGGTAAGGCAGGAGAGGTGCCTAACTTGCTCCAGTTTCACCCCTGAAATGTTGGAGCTGAGACTGTGCTTAGTCTGATTCCAATGAATATTCTCATTTGCAAGATGCACAAAAGACTCGCAACCTGAGGTCAAGTTCTGAGTTCTTGGAAGACCCCGTATTCCATTGACTTTAAGGAGTAAGTGCTCTGGCATTGAGGACTTCCAACTCAGTGGGACACCAACAAGGCTTTGGAGGCAGCAGCAGGAACTACTGCGAGGTGTGATTGGAGGACTTCACCTGCCCACCCTTCCCTCCCACCACCCCCCTCGCCCACCTAGCTGTTAGTGATAGTTCCACCAGTAAAGACTTCAAGTTGAACCATAATTATGAAAATGCAAATGCTGGGACTGTTCATTTCTTGAACCATGATGGCCTGAATGGTTTATCAAGTTCTTTAAATAGTTTTATAAACATTCAGTTCAGAGGAAGGAATCTGACAGAGGAAAGCAGAGTGGGAACAGAAAAGGGACTTGGGGATTTACGTGGGGACACCTTAGGGTAGTAAGTGGAGGCAAAAGGGAATTCTTTCTGAATGATAGTGGAGGAGAGGTGAAATAATGAGGTGAACTTATTTCTTAGGCCTTATGTGATACCCTACAGGAGATCTGCATATAACCAGTCATTAGTACATGGGCAACCTGTGACAGGTCAACACAAAGACAGTTTGCTGCCTTCCAGACTTGGAGTCTAGACCCTACTGGTGATTGGCAAAATTCCATTTCTTTTAGAAACATGGACAGTAAGTTAGTTAGAAATGATACAAGCTGACAAGAACTTGGGTTTCCAACTAACTGTAATCTGTGACAATTTGAAACATTCTTTTCTGATAGGTTTAACCCGCTTACTGAATATTGTAATGCGAATGACATTGTTAGGCTCTGAGGTAGGGTATACAAAGGTGAGTCAGTCATAAGCCTGCCTCCCAGCAGTCTACTTTGTAGTGGTGTTGATCAATAGTAAGCATATGGCTAACACAAGGTGATAACTAAAGGTGATGGGGTAACGCTGTGGATAGAGTCAGTGCATTCTAAAATTCATTGTACTTTGAAGGCTCTGTCTGTTATATAACTGCTTCATTCTTTAGGTTCAATTCCAAGGTCCACTATCTGAGTTCTGTTGTTCACTGGGTCAAATCTTAGATTTAGACCTGAGGTGAGTCTCTCACACATTTTTCTCCTCATAAGATGGGAACAGATCTGCCTCTAGTGAGCTGTTGTATCGGTAACAGGTTAATGTATGTAAAGAATTTAGAGTAGTGATGCTTAGCATACAGGATGTAGTTAAAACTTTTAGTCATTGCTGTTGCTGTTGTTATCCCCATCACAACGAAAGAGTCTGAATATTTTTAAAGAAAAGAAAATAATAGAATGACAGATCTAAGAAGGAAGAGGGGTTAAGATACTGGAAGAAATTAGCCAAAGAACACATATACATATATGCAGAGCCCATGAACACAGACAACAATGTAGTGGAGAGGTGCTGGATGGAGGGAGACAAAGGTCGTGGAATGAGGGACGTCTCTAATAGTGTCAACAATAAAAAAAAAACACAACCAAAAACATAGAATTGTTGATGTCCCTACAAAGTAATTAAATTAAAATAATAAAGAAAAAGAAATGAAATTCTCCTTGGATCCCAGGTTTTGCCTTTCCTCATACTCCTTCCAAATGCCAACAAATAACAAGCTCCATTGACTGACTTTCAAGTGTACCCATCCTTCAGGACATCCATCTTTCCTGCTGAGAGACTCAGAGACCCACAAAGGCAGCGAGGCTCGATTGCAGGTAGGCGCTTAAGTCTCCAGCCTTCTGAAAGTGGCTGTGCGCAGCAGCTTTGGGGGTCAAAGTGAACCCCAACACCCCTAAGTCCCTGCAGAAGACAGCCCAAGCAGGCTTAGGTCCCAGGACTTACACCCTAATTCTTAACAACTCCCCTGGATTGTTTGTAAACTCGCCACTGACACACAGACGTGGGCATCTCCTGTAACATCATCTCCTCCTCCATATTGGGCAGATGGACCCTCTCTGAAGACAGCTGCTCATCCTTTAATAGCCACACTGAGCAATGCACTTGAGCTTGGAGAGGAGGCTCCAGAATTGAAAAGTATCAAGTGTTAGTAGGACTAAGAGGTCCGCACTAGAATGTAGGTTCTGGCTTCAAGAGTCATAAGACCTTGGGTGTGAAATAATTAAAAAACAAACAAACATCTAGCCCATATTCACACACCTGGTGCATTTAAATACACACACACACACACACACATATATATATATATATATATATATTTCAGAGGGAAAGGGAGAGGGAAACACCAATGATGATGACAGAGAACCATTGATTGGCTGCCTCTTGCATACCACCTTCTGGAGATCGAGCAAGAAGCCTAGGCACGTGCCCCTTGACTGAAATTGCACCTAGAACACTTCAGTCCACAGGCCAGGGCTCTATCCATTGAGCCAAACGGCTATGTAATATGAGTGATTGCCTGTTAGGGCACTCAGTGGCTGTGGAACAAGAAAGGGAAGATGTGTTTTCTTTCTTTTTTTTAATCTTTATTGTTGAAAGTATTACTAGTACATATGCCTCCCTCACTGCACCCCCATTGACCTTTTCTAGCCTCCCCCTGCCCCCTCCCCAAGCCTTCACCATCCTATCGTCTGTGTCCATGGGTTATGCATGTCCTATATATAATAATAAAGAGCTAATATGCTAATTAGACAGAACAGCAGAACAACTATCCAGATGACCTTCCAGATGAAACCAGGGCTGGGAGGACAGAGGCCTTCACAAATTTCCTGCACTGCGCCTCTAGTATGTATGTAAGTTCTTCAGTTGATCACTTCCTACCCAGCCAGCCTTCCCCATCAAGAAGGTATATTTTCACTGAATACTCTTTGGCACCTTGAATTTTAAACCACCTACAAAAAAATAAGAATATAAAAGTCACAGATATGAATAGAGTTATGGTTTCAGGTATGTCCTCCAAAAAGTAAAACCAGGAAAGTGTGCTAAAAGAAAAAGGAAACTCTGCCAGTTCAAAGTGAGGTGATGGGGTCACCCCTATGATCACATAGCTGCCAAAACACCGCACTGATCTTTGAGTGACTTGGATTCAGAACATACCGACATTTGGTAGCTACTCACCCTCACTTTCTGCTGAATATTTTGTCAGACTTGTCCAATTAGAATTGAAGATGCATTTTATTTTATCTTTTTACATTAACCTAGTAGTAGGATTCTGAGCTCTTTGGAGGCTATTCGGAGATGTGAAATGGCTTTCAAACTTTCCTCAGCTTCGTGATGTTGCACTGCAGTGTTCCTGCCTGGAATAAGATGAGAGCCTCATGTTACCAGTCCTTTTTTCCCTTTGTCATTTTGAATCTGGAGATTACTTTGTCGTTTCAAGTAGGAAATATCTGGCATGCATTGTATGACATTTAAAAAATAACTTTTTTATTGAAAATCAAATAATGGAA